ATTACTTCTCTCCTGACAAATTTAGCATGACTTTGATCTCTTTCATTCTTCTAGCATTAAATTAATTAATATCAACCCTTGACACTTGTTCTGGAACATTTTTTAGTGGAGGTATGATACTAGTACTGGGCAAGAAGACCTACATCTTCACCTTTTCTGTGAGCAGGTCAATTTATCTGAAAAATTCTGATGTATTACCAAAGGTAAATTTTCTAAAATAGATAAAAGTTTATTTTAAATATGATAAACTACTTTATTATTGCATTGTCAAACAAAACAGTCCACACACATTTGATGGATCCACATGGGCTGAAAATGTTCAAGATTCTTTTGGAATATTCAATTATTTTGCCTTTGAAAAACATAAACAGTACATCAAAGGAAATTAAAGCCTTCATATTTTATGCTCCCATAAAGGACAAGCATGGCTCCTAAACACACTCCAAAGAGCATGCAGCTCAGTGCTTTATATAGTGGCATGTACTGGTAGGACGACAATCAGACTGGAAAACATTTCCTTTATTAAATAAGTGCACCTCATTAAAGTCAAGTCCTTTTCAAGATTTTTCAAGGACTATAAACTGAATTTTAGTTTTTTCTACTTTTCAGAAGTTTCTTGGATTTTTCAAAACCATCTTGAAACATTAACCCAAACTTCAGGCATATTTACTTTCTCTTCTCAAAATACGAGGAAGAGCTCAATCAAAACGTGGCTTTTTTGATAATGTGTATATTTCTGTTATAGGAAAATGAGATAGTTATTTTGAATTTCTTGCTGTAGATACTGCCAATGATATTATTTCTGACTAAGCATCTTTTTTATTGTATAACAATTTTATTTTTCTCATTTCACTATTTTTACATTTTATGCAAATATATTTTAGTAAAAATAGAAAATAACTGTTTCATGTAGAATCACAAAAAACCCAAAAAGAAATAATAATTGTTCTTGTGATAGTATAAGTGTCTTTATTTAAAGAGTAAAAATATATGCAAAAATCCTCCTCCCATTTACAAAAGATTGAGAGTATTTTTTTTCTGGCAACAAGTGAAATATTGAAGTATTAATATTTTATAACATTTAAATTTGAAGACATTAAGTCAGGTTTGTTTTCCAAGTATGAATTTTAAAACATTTTTGTGCTATATCAAAGATACACTAATTCTTTATAAAAGGCAGTAGCATAAAATAATGAATGCAGAAAACAGACAGCCTCACCAAAAATATCTTGAGGCAAACCCCTTTAAAAGAAATATTGTATTTGAGTATTACCATTAATCTGGGGAGAAAACAATTAAACATTTTTCCTTATTAAATGATATGTATTGATACTAAAATCAATGTGACTAGTTGTCATATGAAGATGAACCATATATTACAATTCACCTACTTTGATTTTTCCAATGCCACCATAAATTTTCAGACTTCAGGCTAGCGAGAAAATGTATGAAAGTTGGCTCAATGCAAAATTCAGATAGGAATAAAGTTTTAAAACAAAGGTGGGTATTTCATTGTTCTTGTACCTCTAAGGTACAAAAGGATCAAAAACCTTGTCTACCTTTAAATATATTCTACATTGTCTTATGAAAAATTTACAGCACAGCAAAATAATAGCATGAATTATATTTTTTTGCATAAAAGAGGTAATTTTTTAATAGAAGAAGACTACCTATCAATCTGTGTCCTCAATAAGAATAACAGATATTTATATGTAAGTTCAGACAAACTGATAAAATCTTT